AAAAAAAACCACTTCTAAAAAGGTCAAGGGAGAATAAAGCCCAGAACTTATCCCTCATATCCGTTGTGTTGCTACTGTTCTGTGGCTGGATCAGACTACTCAGCATTGCTGTGGAAAATAAAGGTTCCTTGTAGCTGAAAGTGGTCAGGCAATTCAGGGATGAAAAAAGGCAACACAGCCTGTCAATAAAATGAAAACTTTCAGTGTATGCACATAAGTAGTGGTGGGTGTGAATATCTCAATGTCCCTTTGAAATTTTCCCAAATACTCTCCATGGCACAAGTTAAAACAAATGCAACTATGTGCAATCTGAGGTAGATGTAGATTATCTGGCTCACAGAAATTTGTACACAGAGTACTTTTATTCAGTCCTGATAGTGCTTCAGTTACTCTTCCACTGCTCTTGTTCTTAGTGTGAATTGCTTCCTTGGATGGGAGGATTTAAACATTGTAGGAACATCTTTTAGGAAATAGAAAAAATGGAGAGACTTGAGTATGGTTTCAGATTTCTCTATAGTTGCCTTTAATGAAGACTTTGGAAGAGCAGGCATTCAAGTCTGGAAGGTTATTCATTTCCTTAAGCTGAAATAGTTCACAAAATGTGTTTTAGATGAGTAAGTTTTGTGATGGAATTGGGGGTTTTTTGTGTAATGATCTAATACTGACGAAAATCGGAGGAGTTAATGAGCAGACATTACACCTTTTTTGTGTTTTTCAGTGACAAAGAAAAGCAGTTGGGGAGGAAATCACAGAAGTAGTAGTCACAAATAGTTTTCAGGAGGTACAAAGAGAGAAATTGCTTTGACTGAACTTGTCACCACTCTTACTTGAAAAAGAGGATCAGTGACTGTTAACCATGGCCAGAGTTAATTGTGATTGTCTCTGCCAAAACTGCAATCTTGGTAGTTTTTCCTGTGAAGCTGCAAAAGAGCTGTGGGGGGATTGTTGGCAGAGATTATTCAAGACCCTGTGTTGTCTGCCTCCTTTCTGGCACCTGACTGAGGGTCGTCTTACTGGCCCTGGGGACATGTCTTGCACAGGAGTGGCAGATGCAAGACTTTGTAATTACTCCCCAAAAATATCACTTTCACTGCTTAATCTATTTGTTAGAGACAGATTAAAGTTGGGTAAAGATTACCACCTTTCATAACTTCTGTAAAAATGTAAATTCCCCAGTGTGTTGCAGTGTACGTGAAGCCAGATGTACGTGGTTGGAGAGGAGCAGCACCTGTTACACAGGGACTTGTTTTTTAGATAAATATGTGTAGGAAGAAGAAAAACTTTTAATAAAATGAGACATTTTGGATCATCTGAAAACCTGTTTTCCCTTCTTCTTAGACAAGGGTAAAAGGGACCAGTGAGGATCAGTGCCTTTTGGCAAAGTCTTCTGCGGCTTGCATTTCCAGTACGTAGATGACTCCTGCTGTCTGTGGGGATAGGTGCAGTCATGCAAGAACATGTAACGGAAAGCTAGAACTTGTTTCACTTAGAAAAACTGCAAAATGCCTTTTCAAATGGGTTAGATGGGTTTTTTCCCTTCCTTCTGCATTTCAGAGAAACTTGCAGGGAGAAGCTGTGAGCAAGATATCTCTCGCCGTGTGATGCAGAGAGAGAACATGTTTGCAGACATGTGCAAGGCCTCCTTCTCCTTGGGCTAGAGAGAGTAAGGGAGGAGAGAGAGAAGATACAAAAAAGGCTAGGAGGAGGTAGAGCATGGGCTTTTGCCCCTGAAAGGTCTGGTGTTCTGCATTGTGAAAAAGTGGTCCTTGCATCTGAAATAAAACTTTTGTTTTTTTTAATCCTTTCACTGCTTCGGCATTCTTGGGAAGAATACCTACGTATGTTTACCTTACACTATGGGAGTCAAAATGAAAGTTATGAATATAATATACTTTTTAATAATTATGAAGCTGAAGTAAGCAAATGAATTTACAAGAAAGTTCAGTTTTCTTTATTCCAGAGATTTACAAGTAGTTTAAAACAATGTGTTTGACATGAGAAGTTGTCCCTATCATTAAAATGCTAATGAAACAGTAAACATCTGTTAAATTTATGAAGATAATGAAGATTTTTAGCAACATCTTTCTTATGTTAGTATACCTGCTTAGCTTAGGCCTGCATACGGTTCTAGTGGAGTTGTGGTTGTGAGAATTTATTTGGCCTTTGGGAGCAATGCCAGTGCAAAATTGTCCTATTGCATTTGTTTTGATGATTTTGTTGTGAAGTGCTTCTACTTGTAGTTTAGGTCACCTTCATCTAATAATTCTTTCAGAGGCTTTCAGAGGTGGATCTGAAAGTCAAACTTCAGTCCAACAGGGTCATTGATATTTGATTGGCAATTGTTGAGTTAGTAAACTGGCAAACAGAAATGAACAAATTTCGTATGATTAATGCCTTTAGCAATCAGTCTGGTAGGTATGTATATTTTCTGTTCTATATAGACTCTGAATGTGTCCTAGTTTCCTGGTCATAAATTACTCTGGCAGCAGAAACACCATGAACTGCAAAACTAGAGAGATATTTCAAATGTGTTTTCCATGTGAAAGGATCTGTACTCACCCAAGGAGCACAAAGAAGGTTGCATTGTTTTCAGGAGTATGCTAATTGTTTTTTAATTTTAAAGATTTTATGCCAAATGATTTCTATACATTGAATAAAGATACCATCAGAAACCTAACAACTCTGATTTTTAAATGTCAGTCACAATTTAAGTCTATTCTGTTATATTGTTTTTCTGTAAAATTGATTAAAATATGTAACCATAGCTTCATTGAAGTATGTATATGTAAAGAGAAAACAGGTCTTATTTAACTTCACGGATCTTTAATTGCATATGAACTTCAAAGAGAAACTTGTGGAAGTTAGATTGATGATGGCGCTTTAGGTAATTGAATACAACATCGCTCCTCTTTGAATGCAACTCTGAAATCCAAATTATGTAAATCTACTGTTTCAGAACCAGTAGTAGAAATAATCATTATTTTTGCAGTTGAAGATACTTTCTTTGGATAAATACTCTGACACACTTCTTTCCTATTGATGCATCTTTTCCATTATGGATATGAATAACTGTAGGCATGTTAGCCTTTAGCTTGTTGACGTTTGTGACTCCACTTGAATAAGCTTTGACTTACAGTTAATTAGGCACAACTGTCAATGAGTTTCATGAGCTTATGCAGAAACAAACCTGACATTTATGAAAGTGTTTGGATAGAAGAAGGGAGAAAATATTGTGGGAAAGTTTCTCAAGCATATTTTTCCTTTCAAGTTGTGCAGCTCATTTGGGATGGTGTGAAACAGTTTTCTCTCCATTGCTGTCAATGGCCCATCATTGTGCAATCATCATGTTTTTCCTATGGAAGAAACAGAGAACAGATTATAGCCTGCTATTTATCTGCTAGACCATAATATAATATTTACTGTGTTGCAGCTGTGATCAAAATCTATATCCAACATCTACAAAATTTGAGCTCAGGGCTAGTTATAAGTGTTTGGTCATCCAAAAACTCCATGCAGCCCCATCTGGCTTCTGAACTTAGCTTTCCTCTTGGATACCACGAGATGGGTTTGAAATTGTGCCTATGGAGGAAGAATAGTTAAAAGAAAAGGATGAAAATATCTACTCTGCCTTCAGCTTTGTTTATCCTTAACAGGCAGGAAGGGAGATCCATTAATGGAAGACTGGTACTCAGGCAGCCCATATGGATTGCCTTGCTACTTTTTGCAAGTAGATTGAAATGATTTGGTGGCAGAAGAGAGGGAATATTGCTTGATTTCTTTTCTAAACCCCTCCTTCTAAACCTCTCTCTTCCCCTCTCCCTCTCTCACATCCCCTTCCTGACCAAGTTAAAAAAGCTCAGATGAATTCTATGAAAAAAAGCTCAAACTCTGCCTGAGACCAGGGAAACTCCTAAGAGACCTGTTATGCTGCCAGCTCCTGGCCACTAGTGAGTGGGAGAAGGAGGTAGTTATGAAGAAATTGTGACAAAGGTAGGAGAGACAGAGAGTGACTCATGCTCCTTTAGAGGTGTGGGACACTTGTGTTCCACTGCCTGCTCCAATTGGTGTTGAATTATTTATTCAACCTAGGAAGGAGAAACTGAGTTTAGGGGTTTGTGGTCTTTTGGGGGTCTTTTTATTTCAATGAGAGAAATTTTATTTGAATCTCTTTTGTATAATTTCAGGAAAAAAAATACTCCCACAGGCATAGCTGGAAGCTGTGTACTATGGACATTTATTGCGTGAATAGGGCAGATAGCTCGTTAAAAATGAATATTTGGACATCTGTGCCTCCCCATTCCTTCAGGATCTTGCTGGGCAGTGATTCTTAGGCATATACAGAAAGTGTTTCAGCATATAGATTTCTGGAAAAATTTTGTTTGTAGGGAAATATCTGGGCTCCAATTTAGAAAATGCTAGTTTGCATTGCATGTAAAGAGTTGCGTTCATTTATATGCTAGCTGATTATTTAATTGTTGGCTATTTTCTAATATTTGTCTTGCACTGTAAAAGAGGAATTTTTACAGATTAGTTGAAATGGTGTTTGTGCAACACCTGATAGTTACTCAGAAGAGGGGAAAAAATAAGATGCAGCTCACTATTTGGAAACAAACCTCTGGATTTCAGCTTACATGTATTGTCTGTGCTGACTGATTTAGTAGGCAACCATTAATTGCAAAAGCATCTTACTTTCATGGGCACTCATCCTGGCCTTTTTGGCACAGAAGAATTTTTCAACTGTAGAAAGGATTTATTCTACCTGCCAGTGTGATTTATATACCATATGTCTCCTCTTCAGCGTCTGAGTATCCATGGCCATAGGGAAGTGCTCTGCCTCATCTGTACTGTGGGTAAATAGGTTTCTTTTAATGATATTAACTCCTACAGAGCCTCTTTATCACCTCCCTGTATTATTTTTTCTTGGCAGTTGTGTCAGCTATACTGTGTGTGTTGTGGAAAGGAGAATACTATGAATTCCTGGTTTTGTTTGCTCTTGGCAGGCACTACTACACTTCCCACCCTTGTGCGCACACCTACCTTGATGATGCAGCCTTCCCTGGATATCAAACCCTTTATGTCCTTCCCTGTGGACAGCAGCTCTGCTGTTGGATTCTTCCCAAATTTTAACACAGTAAGTAAAGGTGTTTCCACATTTGGTTTCACTGTATGCTTTCCAATCTGGTTCTAGAATCCAGTATTGAAGCTGCCTTAAAACAGTGCATCACTGACACAATTCTAGGGAACCCTTTTTGTCTGTGCCATTGTGGTTGCTTTTCCCTTGTACAAAAGGCTTGGAATGGTATCCAGCCTTCGCACTGTGAATGGGGCTGATTGTTTTTTAGCTTGGTCTATTGAGGTGGTGTTTGCACGTTGAGAAAAACAATCCCATGATGGAGATTTGAGAAGCAGTAGAATTATTTTGAGAGTTAGTCTGGGCATGTGTGTTTCCATGTGCTGTCAAAGAGGAAGAGACAAAAGCAGTGGAAAGACAGGTAAGACCTAGATCCTCCAGTGACATGAATCAAGCTAAGTCTAATAGGGCCAGTAAATCAACTGGAGGTTATTGTTAATTCTGTGTAATTACAACTTTAAAGTGTAAAATTGTACCGCCAGCCAACGTGAAAAATGTGAATCTGTTATTTTTGCATTATGGTAAAGCATCTTGGTTTAAAAAAAAAAGTACTGCCAAAATAATGCTTCTGTAGTTCTTCATGTTTATCAGAGCAGCAATAACAAAAATAGTCTCTTCCATAGTTCTCGCTTTTTTAACAGCTCATAGAATAGCACTGAGTGTTACCAAAGTGCTTTTTTTGCCATCACACTTTATCATTAGCTTAAATGTTTAGGCTAATGGCAACAGGAAGGAAACTGCTCTGAGTCATTGCTGCCAAGTCAGCGAGTACAGTCTGTTCATATGTGACCGTCACCTGAACTGTAGAGCATCACGCTTGTCACTGTAGTCGCAGGGGGAATGGAAAGGGAAGCACTGTCATCACCACCAGACAGTGATCAGCTGAACCACTGCCAAGTGTTTCCTTTCACAGACTAACCTTCTGTCTGAAATTAAAACAGCAAGAGCATTCTTTTTTCTTCATGACTTGCAAATACACCTTGCTGACAGGCCTTGTGCTACAGCACACAGTGATGTGGGGTGGTTATGAGATGACATATCAGTCAGCTTCTTTCACATGTCAGCAGCCCAACATGTGGGCTGCTATAAACAGTAGCAAATATTACTAATTGATTGCAAAACATGTATGTGAAATTGTGCACTGATGAGGGAGATGTGGGAATGTGCATGTGTACAAAGAGATAAAAGATTAAAAAAAAATCCCTGTATGTTTAAAGCGCAGGCCCAAAACTCAATACAGTGTTAAGAAAGCAGTGTGTTGTTTGCGTCTTCTAGGTGTGATGCAATTCAGATTAATTTTCCATATCATTTGTTACTGATTTGTCTGCTTTTTAGTTGCACGGGTTTTATAGGTGATCTTTTTCACAGAACTGGTCATTAAGGTTCAGAGAAACTTTTCTTTAGAGATGCAGTAGTTTTAGAGTCAACTAACATTATTTGCTTACTGGTGGTATTACTGAATTTCTGAGTCACAGTAGCCTCTAGAGACAGATTAATTTGGATATTTACACTGATTTTGTCTAGCTTATATTTTTCTGGGTTACATTTAATTTGCCTAATTCCTGGAGTGTTTATCCTTCACTCTTGTCATTCCTCTCCAAACTTCTATGGATTTTATTAAAAAAAAAAAAGAGAGACCTAGGGTAATCAGCAAATATTGTCAACTCAGTGTCTACTTCCTCCCTTGAAATTCTTAATAATTATTTAAAATTATGCTACTACACATCACCAACACTGCATGTTTAAACCGTCTATTTTGAGGAACGGTGGCTCAGTACTTCTCTATTTCTAATTCACAGACTTTGCCATTTATCTTGCAGGTATTGATTTTCCCTAAGAGTCTTTCACAATGGACTTCAAAAGCTCATTGGAAACTAAATCATTCATGATTATCTACTGACAGGCACAGTGAATGCCAACTGTTATGCGCTTCCTTTCTTTCTAACTTAGCACAAACTTTACAAATGTATACTTCTAGGTTTGTATATATTTTTTTTCCTTTTTCACTCTAAAATGGTGGCCAAAGTACGTAAAAGTGTTTAAAAACTTTTTTTCCTGAAGAAAATTTTGAGCTATAAAAGTTAAATCCAGTTGACGCGTAACATGCATCATCTAAAGTGCCACAATCTTTTATCTTGGGCAGGAAGTGAATATTAGAAGAGCCAAAAAAAGCCATCATTTGCCTTATAGATCAGTTAGGAAATCTAGACATTCCATTTGAGGGAGAACTTGTCAAGGACTGCAGATAGTAAAACTTCTAGTGTGCAGCCCTTCATCTCTGAGGACTGAGGGGACCCTGCCAGGGTGCTGTTCATCTTTCATGTGTTCACTGAAGGTGGCAAAAAGAAATGGGGTCTGAAGAGAAAACTTCTTTGGATCCACCTGTTCATTTTCAATGGCAGTCAGATAGAGAACATTTTTCTAAACCTTGCCAGGAGGTGGTTTCTACCTTAGTATCAGTTGCCTGAAAAAGAAGTTTCTGCATGGGAGCTTAATACAGTAACTACCAGGGAAGAAAAAACAAGGTAAAATGTATTAACTACAAACATCTTTGAAGGAACACTCCCTACAGTTTTTTCCCAAAAGAACTTCTCTTATTTATGGAAATATATTTAAAATCTGGGGTAAACCCTTTCTTATATAGTTAATTTTGACAGTTTTCAATTCTGAAACCATCTGTGATGCTCCAGATAAAACATCAGTGTTCCCATTTTGTTCATGGAAGTGTTCTGATCACTAGCTTCTCTCCACATGTGGTACTTTCAACTGAAGCACTGAGCAGACCCTGATTTTTTAAAAGAAATTTACAATTATATCTTATTTTCTTGATGGAATTGTGGGATATAGTTTCAACTGTCGCCCTTCTGTTTCTCTTAAAAACATTAATAATTCTAAATATGCTGTGGATGTATGTGTAGTAATTGTAAATTCATGCCCCAATTAAATTAGTCTTTGTTCATTAGGACTTGTTCATTATATAGGAAAAATTAATTGGGGAATGATTGCACTAACTCCTTGGATACCTGTCTGTATTTCTCGGTATGGGGAATAAAGCTTCAACAGATCAGCCAGAAAGGGATCTTCTAAAGACAGAATGAAGCAAAGAGGTGTTGTAGGTGCTGTCCTTCCTAGTCTTTTCACAGCAGCAGCAAACATTCTTGTCAGAACAGGACAGGCATGCTCAGATTGTCAGAACCTGAACCTGAGTTTCTGCATGGAAGGACAAACCCTCTCTCGGAAATGCTGCAGCAGCGGATCCAAAGGTGACATCATGTTTGTCCTGGCATCAAGTTCTAAATGCTCTTGCTCAGTTACTCATATCCCTCTGTCTGAAACACAGAGCTTGAATCAAATTATTAGCTGTTATTACTTAAAATGTTCTTGTTTATAAAAGAAAAGGAGACATCATTATAGGAACTTTCCAAATTGGTACCTGCAATTTGGAATGGATGTGTAACAAAAAGTATTGTTTAAGCAGAGTTCTTTTTCAGCACACTAAAATGACTCTTAAGGATTTTTTAACAGGTAACACCTTACCTATTGATTACATTTAAAAATCTGTAAGTTAAGTACATAGTCAGAGGAAATCAAAATTAAGATTACTGTCATCCCCATTGTGTTTATTATAATGTAATCTTGCTGGCTTCCACCATACAGCTTTACCTTCTGTATCATTCTCTCCCTACATCTCCCTGATTCTTTGTCTCCTGTCATCCATCTTGTGTACTGAATGAAGAAAGGATGCTTTGTGATCACAACATGGGAGGTCATCAAGATGCATGTACTAAAGTGGCTGAAAGCCAGGATTTGTCATGGAAGGCAAGCTTCATGTTCACCATCTGCATCTCCCTATGAAGATTTTATACTCCTAAAAAAAAGAAATCTCAAAATTCCAGCATATTCTACCTTGTTCTGAAATGAGAGCAGCACTGCATGACTCATATTTAGTTGAAGTAGTAAAGCCAGGGACCCGTCAATCTGCACAAAAGCATTATCAGCAACTTCTCAGATTCTATCATCATAGAAAATAATCAGCAATTCATATGCTTCCTTCTGAGTTTGTTATGGCCTCAGGGGTAATCAAAGATTAGAGCATCTCTTGTAGCTTTCACATTAGTGAAACATTTTCCATCGAACTAGACCATGATTGGTTTCTAAATGCTAGTTCATACCTTCGTGTTTTAGAGGACACATGGGTTAATGTGGCCTAGTTACTGCTTCAGTATCTATTTCTCTTCAAGTAGGTTTATGCTGATTCTTTATATTAGAGTTCTCTCAGTCCCCTTGCAAAGTGGACCAGAAATATTTTACATCTGCAAGTGAAGGTGAGCCAGCTGGAATGGGCTACAGGAAAGGAAGAGGATCTGAGTAGTAACTTAGTCAGAAATTTTTTACTCTTCTCCAGCATTAACCCTGCCTGGACTAAGTATCCCTTGCCTACCCCCAAGACAACTACTGGGAGGGACTGATTTGCCCTTTCCTCTTGTGCATTTTCAATTATGACCCACATTTTTATCTGCTACCTATCTAGTTCTCATCTGAAGGGCCCAGCAGTCAGTCAAGGCGAGAAGCCGAGTTCAGCAGATAAGAGCACAAGGCACTCGTATCTCTGGCTTCACTCACCCCTCTGTGCCAAGTGCCTCTTCTGCCTTTGGCAGGACACTGTGGCTTGGGAGCTTTCTCTTTCCTTAGCAGGGTCTGAATTCAGCCACTTAACACCCTGCTACATTGCCAAAGTACTCTCTGGAGCACAGCATTGTATATGGCAGGAGCAGATTACAAATGCAGCCAACAGGATGTTGCCAGCCCTTTATCTATGGTCCTCTTTATCTAAGTAGCCTGTCCCTGTGCTCTGATTTCCCTTTTCCCTTTTATGGAGTGCTGAACTGAAGTGACCTGTTCTGGTTCTTTCCATCTGACTCCAGAGAGCAGGTGAAGCTTTGTAAAAGCCACACTTTTACACTTATTAACAACACAGAAAGGAAATTTCAGCAATTGAC